ACATTAATTGGAATAAATCTTTGATATTCAATTCTCTCGTTCATGTCTAAGTAATATCGCATGTTTACGTTGCTTTGAGTGCATCTTAATGTTTCCTTACAAAGCTTTTTTTTCCGTGCACTCGTTGAATGCCGAAAAAAAATAAAGTGAAATTCCTTTTGCAATAGTAGCAATGAAGTTTCAAAATGCATTTTGCTCTGTTTTTCTTCATCTGGTGTAATAAAATTGATGGAGGACGAAACTCGAAAACAAATTTTAATGAAAGCATGCAGAAACGCATTAATGAGCAGACGAAAGTTTTAAATAAAAGGAAAAAAAATCTGAAACGCAGAAAAATGAGTATTAATTTTTATCTTTAAAATGTGGTGCACAGTGCGACATTTACTTTTAATTTTTTTCCCTCAGAGATCAAATCTTCGCGGTTTCAAGCAGCGGGCTGAAATTAATGTGCGCGCACTCTCTAAAAGGTGAAAATTCCTTTTATTTCGCTGTTTGAATGTGAATACTGAAGAAGCTATAAAAATTAACAAACAAAAAATATTTGAGCACATTGAAATCGAACCACAGGAACAATCTCTTCTTTTGTGAATGATTTTTGTTTATTTCTGCGGGATTCCTCAAATATTTCTTATTTTTATTGTCAACTGTTAAAATGAAATTAAAGTATCGCTATAAATTCACAGCAATGAATGTTACCATTCTGAATTTTTATGTTATTGCAATTGACAACATGAGAACATGACGCAAGAATTTTCCGAAAACACCTTTGAAAATTAAATTCGTTTAAATATTGACACTTGCAGAATTTTTTTTTCTTTTTGAAATATTTCTGAATAATTTTTAATATTAGTTTGTATTAGAGTGATAAGCTGAAGGATAGTTGTTTTCATGAGAAATAGGTAGTTTTTTTAATAGCAAAATAAATTTAATCATGTTGACATTTCCTTAAGCAGATAAGATTATTTCCTCATCAAAATTCACTTACTTCGATCAGATTCGAATTATTCCAAGAATATTTATGAAACATAAATCAAGAGTGATAAAATGGTGCTACGTGATTGTCCACGTTAAGTTATTTAATACACCATTAATGTTAATTTCCTTACTTAGTTTTCATTTTAATGTTACTGACTCAATAAAGAGATAAATATTCTTATGAAGACTCGTTAATGAAATCGTCTTCGCATCAAGGAAAAAAATAATTGAAAGAGAAATAAAAAGCAAACTCTAAACATGTTGATTTATCTTAATCAATTTTGTGTCTTTTTTTTGCAGACGCTTGAGCAACATTTTACTTATAAATAATTATTGATTGAAGACATAGAAAGAGAAAGAAAAAAATTAAACGTAACATTGCAATGTAACGCTCGTTTTGATTAACGGAATAGATGCACGCTTAAGCTTGTCGGAAAAGAAATTAAAGCTAAATAAAGAAAATTGATGATGATGATAATAAAAAAATTAAAAAAGACTTTTCCAAATTCATCAACATTTTAATTGAAATAACGCTGATTATGATAATTAAAGCAGGGCGTTTCTATGCATACAAGAATAAGGAGGCTAAAGGTTAATCGATGAGTAAATATTCAGTCTTATATGCAGAAACAGAAACCATCTTAAATCATCTTCAATCATTAAGAAAATCCATTTAAGGCCTCTTTTTGACATGCTAGTTAAATTGATTTCCATATTTTGCGCTAACGATAAGTCATGTTGTACTAAGTATGTTTGTTGGAGATTAATGCGAGAATAAAAATGACATTAGATACATGAAATGAACAGTTACTGAAGATTCTCAATCTTCAACACACAGCAAGACAAATTTGCGTGGTGTGGTGATGTTTCTTCACTTGTTGTTGACGGTGACGGTGGAAAAAGAAAAAGAATATTGGAAAAAAGCATTCGCTAATTTACATATTAGTTACCATTAAAGGAAGTAAAATATGCTTTCCGAGATTACATTAAGAATGACAATTAATCTCTTAAACTTTAAAGGGTCGATTTAACTTCTATTACGAGATAAATTCATGGTGTGCGACACATGAGGTAGCAGAAGTTTTCTTCCGAAGAAAAATAAATCTTAACATTGTCCACCTTTCTACATTTCACACCATTCAAACAACCACACACTTTAATATGCAAATTAATCATGATTTAAGAACGATGCACATTTAAAAATGTTTCTCTTGCGCTTTCGTTGACGATTTAAAAATGCTTTTGTTTGTCTTAAATCATTCTCACAATCCTCTTTGTTGCAGATGTATTTTTCATGTGTCTTTCTTACTTCCATATGTTATAATAAGTATTAGCAATACGAATAAAATATAACATCTGTTGCAAATCAAGAATCTTTCTATAAATAAATATTCGTGAATCCAATTAAAAATAATTTCAAAGTCAGCTTTTTTCCCCGTCACTCTGGTTGATGTAAATTCCTACTTTTCATAAAATACAGTTCTAGTTAGTGTTGAGGCGTTTATTGTGCCAGTAGCTGATTATAAGAAAGCTTTGCAATTTACCCATCGCTCAAATGCATCAAACCAAAATTGCTTCTAGCTCCCTCAGCAACAGAGAATCGAGAACGTAATTTAAAATTACATCCGATTATCCGACACTTCCTTGAAGTGATTGTAGGCCTTTTGTTCTTACACGACATCAAATGAGTGGTGTGCAAAGTATCAAGAACACATCTGAGAACCTCTGTTAAATTCCATCAAGAATGATTTTCTCAAAACACAAACGAAGAGACATGAAAAGAAAATAGTGTAAAGGAAAACATAATTATCTTATGTAAAGGCAAATATATTGTCATCAATATTATATTAGATGAAGCTGTGGAGTTTTATGTAATAATAACAATGCACAAATTACATCAAATGCTTTGTGGTCATTCAATGTGAAACACTTGAGAGCAAATATGCTAAACCTACAACACAATGTTTTGCCTTCTTCTCATTCTTTCATCTTTCTTTATAAGTAATTCATTTGTTATCAGAAGGAAAAGCAAGGGAAAATGTGTATGCTAAAGAAATAAAAAGAGAGGAAAAAAGAATCCCAATCATCCATTAATGCAATTTGCATTAAACGACATCACCCAGCGATGATGGATGAATGGCAAAAACGAAATTTATTGAGAAATGTTTCGTTATCAATAAAAGTGCAATTCTGTAGAATGGGAAAAACGACGAGAAAAGAAAATTATAAAGAAATTTAATTGCAATAAAACTTTATCATGTTTTTCTCTCATGCTTTGATACATGACATTCGCTTTGAATATGATGGCTTTAAAATTTATGTTCGCACCCAGCAAGAAATCAACGACCTGCTTGCCTGTATGTTTGCTTGAATATTTACTTCATTATTTAAATTTTTTTTATTTCCATTATCTTAAAAATGCAAATAAACATTCCTTGTCCAAGGTTTCTGTTTCAAAATGTTTTAATATCTAATAAGTATTCGTTATTCAAAGATACTTTTGATCGCAATAAAATATTTCGAATGATGTTAAATGAAGCCATAAAGAATTCGTTTATTTTACAATTTATTGATTTATCACTCGCTTTCCTCAGTGTTATTCTCCGCCTTTGAATTTCAATGTTGTTTAAATGCAAAGCTCATTAGCAATTTACTATTTTTCATCCATTTTTTATTGCTTAGATATTTATAATGACAATCAATGGAAGTGCTTTCTGTCTAGATAAGTTTACGTTAAAGTGAGTTGCAACTTGCAATTTAATTAAAAATATTTATTTATTGTATGCGTGTTAGAAGACATTAAAACTTCAGTATCCTCAATTTGTTTTTTCTTCAAACAATAATAAAACAAATTTAAAAATAAAGAAATATATTTAAGTCAAATGAGATTTTAATTATTTTAGGCATTTATGTATGTAAATTAAGTCGGCGTAGTGAAGAGAAAAAAAATAATATTTTTGCATGAAAATATGAACAAGTTATACAGTGGCATTACTGTTTGTTACCCTTTCATTCTCAAAATAATTACAAACAATTTACTCCATAATTAATGGAACGAAAACTTTATGTCGAAAACTTGCCTTGAGTAAGGAAAAAAATAAATTATCAGTCAAAAATTTTGTATGCGATTCCAAATGTAGATACAAAAGATTTCAATGCTTGGATAACAGGAACATTTTGTCTATTTATTTTTAATCAAATCTGTGTATGACGTCTGATGAATAAATGTTCACAGTCGTATTGTTTAAGTATCTAGCATGCAAAATAAAATTCCGATTGAAAAAAAAAATCATTAATCGCTGTAAATTAAACTTGGACAAAACTGACATCAGAAAAATTAGTTTAACATTCTAATCTTATTCAGAAATATCAACACATGAAATATTTAGAAACCAAATCAATGTCTTCTCTCATTATTTACATTTAACTCATTTTAATATTAATTTGTTTTTATCTCTCTGTTGATTTTTTTTATTCTCCTTTAAAATCAAGAAAACAGGTAGAAAAACAACTTCAATCGCTAAAGCATACTTTGAAAGAATTCTGCTGCTTTTCTTCTCTGCTCGCATATGATTCACTCACACATTAATGCTTAAATACACGAGACTTTATCTCTATGACTGTTCGGGGAGGAAGAAAAGAAGAAACGAACAAAAACACAACGGCAATAAGCAAGAAACTCTCGGGCTTTCGGTCAGCTCGTTTCGGCGCTCGTTTGGAAAATGTTAAAGTGGTTTTCAGTTTATATCGGTTTGTCAGAGGGCATAGAACTGATTACGGAGGATCAAAGTGATTCTTTATGGAACATCGTAAAATAATTAGAGGAAAAAAATAAAAGTCGCATGTCATTGCAACTTATTTTGTGTAATCCTTTAAAGAAATAAAATGTTCAACGTTAGTGCGATGAAACAAAATAAAGTTAGATAAATTTCTAAAAAAAATATTGAAAACAAAAATAAAGTCGTGATTCACAAAGTAAATATCATAATAGAACGCAAGGTGCTTTTACGACTTCGGAATTTCGTTTTTCCCTTTTTGGCAGATTTCTTGTGTTTAGTTCAAAACAAGTTTTCCGAGTATTATTGAAATTATTGAGACATCCAAAATCGAACTAATAAGTGAAGGCAACAAAATTGATTTCCCTACATTTACTTAATGCTTTTGGGAAGTTCGAGCAAATAATTTCCTTAAGTGAATATTTATATGTCATTGAATACATCTGAAAGTAGTGAAAAAAAAACTTAATTTATGCAACTGGAAGAGAATTTTGTCAAACTGGATACCGGAAGTGCATTTCAATTGGCCTATCCCGATTGGCTGAGTGAAGATAACAGGTACAATAAGCCATTGGTCAATCACAGTTTAAAGGTTTCTTTGCTGGTCATAAATCAATTAACTTTTTGTTTCTTGCGCTGATAAATACTTTCAATGAATTGCAACATTTTTCGTTAATTATATTTACCTACTCTAAGCAACAATGCGGTACAGAAGTAGACTTAAATTGCATTGCGTGCAAAAATTTGTTGTGGTGATTTCTTTTTAAACTTTTAAATAACTATTTCTCTCAAGTCAAACACGATAAAAGATTTTTCATACATTAACACAAATTACATGATGTAACTTTTCGATGTGTTATCATTAAAAATTTTAAAATGTTTTATGTTGTATTTCGCTTGTGATGCAAATGAAGAAGAAACAAAAACATTTCAACATTAAACCGACAATACGGCTGATAAAAAAGCAACAGATTTTTAATCAATTTACATAATTTTTACCACATAATATTCCAAATTATTTATGACGAATGAAAATATATTATATTGAGGAGGAATATCCATGAGCCTTAGTTGATGCCTTGGGATAAGTTTGATGGTTTGGAACTAAAAGGAATTTCTTCATCGTATGTAAATTTTTTTAAGCGTCGCTTTGATTATTAAAAGACAAAAAAAACACATCTCACATGCCTGCGCGATACTTCTATAGGAAAGGAGACAAAATGAGATGAGATACAATCTGATGGTCAATAAATATTTGTTGTGTTTGTCTCCGGAAAGTTTTTTTTTTTTCGTTTTCTCAATTTTAAGTTTCAAGGTTACAAGAACATTCCCCATGAATATTTTGTCATTTAAATTATTCATTTTTATGATAGGATCAGAGTTAAGATGAATATCATTGAACACGATGTACGTTGTTATGTTAATTGATCGAGGCTTTTTCGTAAATTAAATCGCATTTATTGAACAATTTTTCTGTGAAACTCTATTCAAACTTTATGTGACTTTGAGAAAACAAAGTGATGATTTTTTGGCGCTAATAGAAATGCAATCAATGCTTGCCATAAATAAGCAACAATGACGAAATCGTTTGACAAATTTAATTATTAAAATTAACAAAGATACGAATAAATACGAAAACTGTGACAAAAATAGAAAGAAAATGAGATGTCAACACAAAGCAACTTGAAATTCAATTTCTTTTTTATCTTTGTGTGTTTAAATCTCGGACCACTGATTGGGAAATAAATGATTCACGTAAAGTGAGCAAATATAGGCCGGAAAGTGTTCATTAGAATTGTAATTTCGTAATTGTTCAACATGGTTCAAACATCGGTTGGAAAAAGAACTATTGTATTGCTTTGTGATGCGTTATCCGTTTGAGTTTCTAATGCAATCATAAAGGCTATTCATGGGAAGACCAAAAGGCTTTTTTATGTTACGTCTTTTGGTCGAAAAAGGGTTTTCATGAGTTCTCAGATGAACATTTAAAAGATTTGGATGAAATGAATTTCTTGTAGTTTGGCAACCCTTAAGAAGAACTCTTCACACAACTCTGACCCTTTTGATATACCTTTGCACAATTAGAGCATAGAAAGAAGGGACAAAGGGTAATCTCACACATCAAATTAAAAGCTAAATAAAAGAGAAGAAAATGCTTCGATGCCTTTTGTTTGTTCGACTGCTGATGCTTTTGCGTTTTGTTGGACGGAGGTGAATTGTTCGTCTGACGTTAGGCTACAGTGTTAACCCGAACGTAAGCCGCAGGCTTGCTTATTCGAATACAAGCCTTCTTTGGTCAAAAAGGCTTTTATTCGAATGCGGCTTCTATTCGAGTTTTCCGATCGAATTTTAAGCCGCAGGGCATTTTTCAAGCAAAATTCGAATAAAAGCCTTCTTTGGTCAAAAAAGCTTTTATTCGGGTGAGGCTTTTATTCGGGTGCGGCTTTTATTCGGGTGCGGCTTTTATTCGAGTTTTCCGATCGAATTTTAAGCCGCAGGGCATTTTTCAAGCAAAATTCGAATATAAGCCTGCGGCTTACTTTCGGGTTAACACTGTAGCG